AAAATTTTGAATAAAGGTTTAAAAAAAATATAAATATTGTATCTAGACCAGACCTAATAAAGAAAAAATTGGTAAGTTGATTTACTAAATTTTGATTAGTGTTTTTTTTAATTTGGAATTTTTATACTACAGTGTTGCATGTGATTCTTAATCACAATTTTTCGGATATAAGCCAATTAATCAACATTTTATAAATCTTCAAAATTTTATTTTTATTAGTAGGATAAAAAATCATAAAATTTCGAAAAAATAAATCAATTTTGCAAGGATTACACTAGTTACAAAATATATATATTTATTTGTATTGTACAAAGCGATGATTTTTTAATTAATGCCTAACTAGCATACAAGAAAGGAAAATCCTAATCTATTATAAACTATATACTGCATTAAAGATTTTGTTAAACTCGCGTGGTATCACGGTGTCCTAGAACGGCGGGTAAGATCGACAAAATAAAAAGGCGTGGTAGTTAATTCAGTAATGCTGGTCAAATATTACAGGCAATACATAATGCTGGTCAAGGAGACATTGTCAATAATACATAATGCCAACCAAAAATTCTATTAATATCTTGAAATTTTGTGTATCCTTACATTACGCATTATTTATTATGTTTTTTTTATACATAAATGCAAGCATCTGATATTACACTTGATTTATTACACATTTGTGTTGAATAAAGCTACTACTAATTAGAATCATTTAGACGGTTTAAATCTTTGGAAAAGTTTAATCATCGAGCTGTTAGTAGTAGTAAAGTTTAGTAATTGGTAACAATAACGATAACGAATGTAAATTAACGTTAACGAGTCAGATAAGTTAATCACGTGACATATGACATTACATTATCACAATTATTTCAATCTACGTGCAATTATTTGTGAATTTTAATATCTAAATATCATTATTCGTAGAAGAAAGACATTTTAAAACTGTAAGCAAATAGTTATTGAAACATACCAGTATGGCTTTTACCAATATTTGTGAAAATGATGATCGGGCTGATGAAGCCAATCATTTTACTCACTATTGCATTGTTACACTAATGATTTTCAATTTTTTATAAATATGGCACCAGTATAAATTTGTTCAATTTTTCTCAACTCAACTCTCTACCATTTCAACATCGAAACTTCGAACTCACACAGACTATACCGAATGGAGTCAAACTCTTCGCTCGCGTCGCAACTTCCGTTAGACGTACTACGGATTATATTTATATATGTCCGTAAGGCAGGAAAGAATCCAAATAAATATGATCGTGATGCTCGCCGAAGCCTACACTCATGTCTTTTAGTTAACCGGCAATGGTGTCAAGCAGCTGTTCCTATCCTCTGGCGGAACTCTTTCTATTATTGTAGTCTTGGAAATTCTAGTTTAATAGATAGCTATATTTCTTGTTTCAACACCGATGAACGTAGCGAGCTCACATCTAAAGGTTTTATCCTCAAAAGATCGCCGCGTTATCGACGTTCTACATTTCCGTACGCGGCAATGCTTAAACGATTGGATTATGATAGATTTTGTGGTTCAGTTGATCTTTGGTGTAGTTGTACAGATCAAGAACCTTATAATGCCAGAGTATTACTAATGCGAGCGTTACTTCGATTATTTTTAACACGTTCGGTAATTTTATTGCATCTTGTACTTGGTGAATGGTTTGAAAAAACTACTACTGACTTGAAGTATCGAAGAATTATTGAAGACGAATTTCAAAATTTACTTGAGCCGGTGCGTAAATTGAGAATTAAAGGAAATTTTGTTAAAGATCGTATATTGAACGGATTATCCGAACCGTGCAAAAATCTGGTATGCATTAAAAAGTTACTGGTTAACAATTTTAGTAATTGTGAAACCATACCGGCATTTTTCGTGTTGAATGTTACACGAACAATTGAATACAATATGCTTATTATTTTTTTTAAAAAAAAAATTTTCATTAAATTTTTTAAAGGACAAATTATTCGTTTATTTATCACATTCATCTCGAAATGGTAACTACAAAGATGAGTCATTATCATTACAAAAAATAATTGAATCCCAAACTCGACTCAAATCTCTTAAACTCGGTAACGTGCCATTGTCTGCCTTACTTCCCGTGCTACCCACCCAATCTAAGTCCTTGCGCAGCATTAATTTATTGGATGTTACTTTTAACGATAACATACCATGGGCCGATCTTTTTGAATGTAAAAATCTTGAAAAAATTAAATTTCGTGATTGTATAGGATTTGGTAAGAATATGATAAATTCATTTACATCGGCAATTTTTCCGAAATTAAAATTACTTGCGATTGTCGGAGAGTGTAGAACTGAGGATGGAGAGCTCTTAACCAAAGATGATTGTCATATGCTAGTTGAGTGGGGCCTTGAACAAGGAGCTCTTGTTACAGTTGGAAATTGGGATTGTGTCGATGGATGGGTAAAATTCGGACAGACTGTGTATGGTATGTAATAACGTTTTTTTCTTATTTACTTAATTTATTGAATTATTCATAACTTTTTAAAAAATATTTATTATATATGTAATAGAATTTGCGTTTTTGTGGGAATATTCAGAAAGATTTAATAATATTTATCGACAATATTTGGATTGTTTATCCAAGAGAACCGAAGAATTTCAAGAATTTATGTAAATATTTCTGATCTCTACTCATGGCTTTGATTAACAATGTCTAAGCCCAATATTTGTTTATGTATGCTTGCACTGATATTTAGCGTATGATTGTTTTGCAGATAGTGAATTATATTGTCATAAATTTGTGAAGGACTAGTAGTTTTAAGTTGAGATTGTAAATTTAAAATATGCTTAATTCAATATACACATTATTTTTGGTAACTGCTAATTTCTTGCCATTGAAATGGCTAATTATTACGGCACTTTTTTTTTTTTTTTTTTTTTGAGTCGTGAAATTTTAGATTTTATAATTTTGGGTTTGACTTTGCTTGTACATAGGTAGATTAATTCTTTATTCTCGGTTTCAAAAACGCGGTTTTCGGAAATTTGATGACCATTTCATTTCTCAACTATAGATCCATGTAAAGCATCTGCATGTTTTTTTTTTTCAAAAATTTTAATAATGAAAATCAATTCATCGCCAAATTACAAATGCATAGTCATATAATATTATGATAATGATAACATTATTTCATGTTAATTTAATTTTCTTAATATAATAACTAGAATTTGTTAGTTTGTGCGAATGTTGAGAGCAATTATCGAAGCAACATAAATTGAAAATTAGCACAATATCTTTATTACTATTTTATAACTGCTACGTAACAACAGACTTATTCTCTTTTTATAACAGCTACATATAGCATTTCTTAAAAAAAAAAGCATATCAACTATTCTATTATCTGGTATTTGAATGTTTAAACTGACGTTGATACGTAGAGGCAAAACGATAGAACTTTAGAATATTATTACAGTACAACTTCGAATATTTAATGAGTTTAATTGTCTATACAACATTCATTTGAGAGTATACACTGGCTAACTATAACTTTACAGACGCGGTATGCAATCATCGGGTCATTCCCACCCTATGCATCCGACTTATTCCTTAAATAGCTATGGCGAACGATTTTTTGTTTTAAGTATCTCAATTACTATAAATAATAATAAAACTCTAATTTGAGGTTTTGTAAAAAATTTACCAAACATAAATTTTTGCAGACTTACCATCCATCTGTTTGTTACACTTAGAACAT